CTAGAAAATGTTTCTCCTAGATAAGAGCCAAGCAGCCCACAGCTTCCTTTGGATTCCAGTTTCGGTGGCTCTTTTTCCTCACATTTCGTCATCAGTCTCCTGCTCTTCCTATTTAGACACCAGCTACCTCCATTGACCAGAGGTGGTCCTCAGAACTATTCGGACTCAGGTACTGTTCACAAAGAAGGAAAACCTAAAACTACTCGAAGTATTCAAACTCTTGTGGTGGATAGGATTGGGGTGGATACGATTGGGGGTGGATACAACTGGGGTGGATACGATTGTGGTGGATACGATTGGGGTGGATACGATTGGGTGGATACGATGGGGGTGCATACGATGGGGGTGCATACGATGGGGGTGCATACGATGGGGGTGGATACGATGGGGGTGAATACGATCGGTGTGGATACGATGGGGGTGGATATGATCGGGGTGGATATGATGGGGGTGGATACGATGGGGGTGGATACGATTGGGGTGTGGATACGATTGGGGTGGCATGATGGGGGGTAAATACGATGGGGGTGGATACGATTGGGGGTGGATACGATGGGGTGTATACGATGGGGTTGGATACGATTGGGGTGGATACGATGGGGGTGGATACTCATTTGTTTGGATACGATTGGGTGGATTGCGAGGGGTGGATTATGGGGGGTGCCTACGATTGAGGTGGATAGACGATGGGGTGGATGATGAGGGTGGATATGAGGGGGTGATACGATTGGGGTGGATATACACGATGGGGTGGATACGATGGGGTGGATATGGATTGGGGTGGATACGGTGGGGGTGGATCGGGGGGTGGATACCAAGCTTTTGCCACATAATTTGGATACGATTGTGGTGGATTGGGGGGATACGATTGTGGTGGTACGAGATACGGGGGGATATGATTGTGGTGGATGGATTGTGGTAGATACCATTGGGGTGGATACGGATTGGGGTGGATACGATCGGGGGTGGATACGATTGGGGAGGATACGATTTGAGGGTGGATACGATTGAGGTGGATACGATATGGGGGGTGGATACGATGGGGGTGATTCCTGGCAGGGATGGTCAATGATAGAGGTGAGTTTTTCCCTCACATCAAACTGGGTCACCCCATGTCGTATGGAGCTGGCTTTGGACACAAGGGCCACAGTCATACTGATCAAAGAAGGGTCCCTCCTCAAGCTTTTGCCACATAATGTATGGGTGGATCGTATGGGTGGATTGGGGGGGAGGATTGGAGGGGTGGATTGTATGGGTGGATCGGAGGGGGTGGATCGGAGGGGGAGGATCGGAGGGGTGGATCAGAGGGGTGGATCGGAGGGGGATGGATCGGGGGGAGGATCGGAGGGGTGGATCGGAGGGGTGGATCGGAGGGGAGGATCGGAGGGTGGATCGAAGGGGCGGATTGGAGGGGTGGATCGGGGGTGTGGATTGCCTGTTACGTAGTAGATATGTTGAAAGCTAGAATACATCAACTTCTAGGACTGTTGGAGGTCTTCTCCGTTTTCTAGGACCTTTTCCAATGTGTATACTGTACTTTGATATTCAACACCCAAGATGGAAAGCAGGCCCATGCGAGATTTTTCAAGGTCTTCCTTTACATTGGTCACGGTCAGGGTTCAAGCTTGGAGTCCATTGGCTATAGCTGTAGAGAGGTTCCCACCGACCAGCTGGATACGTACCCAAACAGGTCACCCTGTGACACCGGCGCACCAGAGGTGTGGTATCTAAGCACTAACCGGTATTCCCCAGAGCTCCTGATGGTGGAGATGGATTTCGCAGGATGTTAGCACCAGGTTTAGGTCCTCAGGATCGCCCCACCAAGAGGTGACAAGCCTAGCATAGTCAGTAAACAAGCCAAGCTGGTAACAAGTGGTTGGGTCCAAGCAGAAGCGTAGTTGAGGAACCAGCCAAAGGTAGGTAATGAGCGTTGCAGTTGGGAACAAGCGGGGGCGTAGTCGAGGAACTGGCCAAAGGTAGGTAATGAGTGGTTGCAGGTTGGGAACAAGCGGAAGCGTAGTCGAGGAACTGGCCAAAGGTAGGTAATGAGTGGTTGCAGGTCACCTACGTATTACGATAAATGTAAAAATATCGATGAAGATTCGTTTCTTTTACTTCTCAGAACCTGGAGGAGAAGACAAAGCTGAAGAAGACATTCACTACTCGTCCATTAACATCGATGACGTGCAGGAGGGTGAGTTGGGTCGTCTTCCTAGAACCAGAGAACTACGTTGAAGTAAACTGGAGCTTTGTTCATGCGGAGATCGATTTAAAATATATCTACGGGCATTTTTCTAATTTATTTTTTTGGAGGGAGTGGACAAAACCCTGGTCGTTTTTTTTTTTTTTGCTGTCTGTACCCCTTCGGGGATATTTCTTTCACATTCTTTCCTGAAGAGGCAACTGGAAGCGATAAGAAATCCCTCTTGAAGAGGAGCTCCACCCAAAAGGGGAGGTTCTACTTTAAAACCCTTGTCCCCCGATCCCCATGAAGGATTGGCACCTTTGGAGAGCGGGGTGCGCCTAAGGTGATCGAAGCGGAAGTTGTCCTCCCCCCCTTCTTCCCTGCCCCATTTTTGGGTGCTAATGAGAGGAACTGTGCCCCATTGTTGGTGGGTGTCATTGGGAGGAATTGCGCCCCATCATTGGTGTTATTGGGCCCAATTGTTGGTGTCATTGGGTGGAATAGTGTCCCATCCTTGGTGATACTGAGAGGAATTTTGCCCCATCCTTGGTGACACTGGGAGGAATTTTGCCCCATCCTTGGTGACACTGGGAGGAATTGTGCGCCCCATCCTTGGTGTTATTGGGAATTGTGCCCCATTGTTGGTGTCATTGGGTGGAATTGTGCCCCATTGGTAAACCCCCATTGGTGACACTGGGAGGAATTGTGCCCCATCCTTGGTGATACACTGGGAGGAATTGTGCCCCATCCTTGGTGACACTGGGAGGAATTGTGCCCCATCCTTGGTGACACTGGGAGGAATTGTGCCCCATCCTTGGTGACACTGGGAAGAATTGTGCCCCATCCTTGGTGATACATGGTGTCATTGGAATTGTGCCCCATCCTTGGTGACACTGGGAAGGAATTGTGCCCCATCCTTGGTGACACTGGGAGGAATTGTGCCCCATCCTTGGTGACACTGGGAGGAATTGTGCCCCATCCTTGGTGACACTGGGAGGAATTGTGCCCCATCCTTGGTGACACTGGGAGGAATTGTGCCCCATCCTTGGTGACACTGGGAGAAATTGTGCCCCATCCTTGGTGACACTGGGAGGAATTGTGCCCCATCCCTTGGTGACACTGGAGGAATTGTGCCCCATCCTTGGTGACACTGGGAGGAATTGTGCCCCATCCTTGGTGACACTGGGAGGAATTGTGCCCCATCCTTGGTGACACTAGGAGGAATTGTGCCCCATCCATGGGTGATGGGAGGGAATTGTGCCCCATCCTTGGGACACTGGAAAATTGTGCCCCATCCTTGGTGACACTGGAAGGAATTGTGCCCCATCCTTGGTGACACTGGGAGAAATTGTGCCCCATCTTGGTGACACTGGGAGGAATTGTGCCCCATCCTTGGTGACACTGGGAGGAATTGTGCCCCATCCTTGGTGACACTGGGAGGAATTGTGCCCCATCATTGGTGTCATTGGGATAAATTGCGCCCCATCATTGGTGTTATTGGGCCCAATTGTTGGCAACACTGGGAGGAATTGTGCCCCATCCTTGATGACACTGGGAGGAATTGTGCCCCATCCTTGGTGACACTGGGAGAAATTGTGCCCCATCCTTGGTGACACTGGGAGGAATTGTGCCCCATTATTGGTGACACTGGGAGGAATTGTGCCCCATCATTGGTATCAATGGGAGGAATTGTGCCCCATCCTTGGTGACACTGGGAGGAATTGTGCCCCATTCTTGGTGACACTAGGAGGAATTGTGCCCCATCATTGGTGTCATTGGGAGGAATTGCACCCCATCATTGGTGTTATTGGGCCCAATTGTTGGTGACACTGGGAGGAATTGTGCCTCATCATTGGTGACACTGGGAGGAATTGTGCCCCATTATTGGTGGTTATTGGGCCCAATTGTTGGTGTCATTGGGTGGAATTGTGCCCCATCCTTGGTGACACTGGGAGGAAAAAAAACACATTTTGGCCACTAGGTGGAGCTGCCAATCATAGGAGATAAATATATTACAAATAATATGGTGGTCGTTCGTTGTATCTGCACTGTAAAAAACATTTTCTAACATAGACCTCCAATGTGCTTTACATAAAAGCCACCAAATTCATATTCTCTTTTCATGGCTTCATATACACTCACCTCCCTTTTCTTTCTCTGCACAGCCCGTCCTGCTCCAAAACATCGAAATGTAAGTGATCGTCTTTTGTCTGATCTCCTTCGACTACTTGCATGTTGAAAGATAGTTCCTTTACCCCAGGTTCACACCCAGGGGCGGACTGACAACTCATGGGGCCCCCGGTCAATAGGGGATCATGGGCCCCTGTGTCCTTGCCCAAACTCAAAAAAGCCTATGAAAAAGGTACCAGGGGCATCTCATGGGGCCCCCTACTGACCCCGGGCCCTCGGGCAGTGCCCGAGTTTCCAAATGGTCAGTCCGCCCCTGTTCACACCTATGCATTTTACTGCAGCGTTTTGCAGAAAAGCAGCCCATATGGAAGAGAAATATATTTCCAATATATTTAGAAAAAAAATTATACATGCGACATATATTTCCAATATATTGGCCTACGCGAAAATATTTTAACATGTATTCTATTAAATGACCACGCTTGGAGTCACTGAGCTCCTGAGAGCGACCCATTCTTTCACCAATGTTTGTACAAGTAGTCTGCATGCCTAGGGGCTTGATTGTATACACCTGTGTCCATGGAGGGGATTGGAACACCTGAATCACATGATATGGAGGGGATTGGAACACCTGAATCACATGATTGGTGGGGGATTGGAACACCTGAATCACATGATATGGAGGGGATTGGAACACCGGAATCACATGATCAGGAGGGGATTGGAACACCTGAATCACATGATATGGGGGGGATTGGAACACCTGAATCACATGATTGGGAGGGGATTGGAACACCTGAATCACATGATATGGGGGGGATTGGAACACCTGAATCACATGATTGGGAGGGGATTGGAACACCCGAATCACATAATATGGAGGGGATTGGAACACCTGAATCACATGATATGGAGGGGATTCGAACATCTGAATCACATGATTCGGAGGGATTGGAACACCTGAATCACATGATATGGAGGGGATTGGAACACATGAATCACATGATTGGGAGGGGATTGGAACACCTGAATCACATGATTGGGAGGGGATTGGAACACGTGAATCACATGATTGGGAAGGGATTGGAACACCTGAATCACATGATTGGGAGGGGATTGGAACACCTGAATCACATGATTTGGAGGGGATTGGAACACCTGAATCACATGATATGGAGGGGATTGGAACACCTGAATCACATGATTGGGAGGGGATTGGAACACCTGAATCACATGATTGGGAGGGGATTGGAACACCTGAATCACATGATTGGGAGGGGATTGGAGCACCTGAATCACATGACTGGTGGGCGGGGCCAATACTCCTGGCAATATATTATATATATACATTTTATATCTCTCAGTTTCTTCCTCCCTTCGCAGTGCTGACACATGAAGAATCGATCGATGTGCGGACGTCTGACTGTCTGTTTTATCTCCCTCCTCCAGGACGATCACGCGGTCACATACTCACTTGTGACGCACGCAGGCTCCTCCAACACGCCGGCAGGAACTTCGACCAGAACCGTCTATGGTGTCGCTCGATTTTAATACAACAGAACACAAATGCGGGTTCCGGTGAGCGCGCGGGACGCAACCCATCCCTGCACATCCTGCCGGACAAACATGAATTCTCTGATCCACTCCCTGAGTAGAGGACGCCGCAGACTTTGGGGTTCATTTATTAAAACATTGTATAGCCTTCCGTCCAATGGAATTGCACGGATATTGGTTTGTGAATCAGCCAAAAAGAAAACTGTTCCATATTTGTGTTCATTCCCTCCGACGTTCTCTAGATTTGTGACATTGTATCTCTTGTGACAAAGATGGATGTATTTCCTCGGCTCCTCAGCGCCATCTAGTGGCCATTTTAAACCCCCTCAATCTTCCACACCGATCTGCCAGTTGAAGGACTGGGACTGGGGGGTGATTAGTGCTGATTCCTCGGCATGGGAATCTGTATTCTTAAAAAAAATAGGAGGTTAGCTCAATGGGGCCCCTTTGAGAGACAACTGGGTGTCACTGGGACTTCCAAGGGTTGAGGCTTCGTGGGGCAGGGTGTCACTGGGACTTCCTGGGATGGTAGAGGGTGTCACTGCAGCTTTCTGGGACTGAATCTTCACAGGGCAGGGTGTCACTTGAGCTTTCTGGGATTGGGGATTCAAGATACAGGGTGTCACTGGGGCTTCCTGGGGCTGAAGCTTCACAGAACAGGGTGTCACTGGAGCTTTCTGGGACTGAATCTTCACAGGACAGGGTGTCACTGGAGCTTTCTGGAATATGGGATTCATGGGACAGGGTGTAACTGGGACTTCTTGGGACTGAAGCTTTGTAAGACAGGGTGTCACTGAGACTTCCTGGGACTGATGCTTCATGGGAGAAAGGGTCACTGGAGCTTTCTGGGACTGAAGCATCACAGAACAAGGTGTCACTGTGACCTCTTAGGACTGAAGCTTCATAGGACTGGGTGTCACTTGAGCTTTCTGGGATTGGGGATTCAAGGTACAGGGTGTCACTGGGACTTCCTGGGACTGAAGCTTCATGGGAGAGGGTGTCACTGTGACTTCTTAGGACTGAAGATTCACTGGACAGGTTGTCAATGGAGCTTCCTGGAATTGGGGATTCATGGGACAGGGTGTCACTGGGACTTCCTGGGATGGTAGAGGGTGTCACTGCAGCTTTCTGGGACTGAATCTTCACAGGACTGGGTGTCACTTGAGCTTTCTGGGATTGGGGATTCAAGATACAGGGTGTCACTGGGACTTCCTGGGGCTGAAACTTCACAGAACAGGGTGTCACTGGAGCTTTCTGGGACTGAATCTTCACAGCACAGGGTGTCACTGGAGCTTTCTGGAATATGGGATTCATGGGACAGGGTGTAACTGGGACTTCTTGGGGCTGAAGCTTTGTAAGACAGGGTGTCACTGGGACTTCCTGGGACTGATGCTTCATGGGAGAAAGGGTCACTGGAGCTTTCTGGGACTGAAGCATCACAGAACAGGGTGTCACTGTGACCTCTTAGGACTGAAGCTTCATAGGACTGGGTGTCACTTGAGCTTTCTGGGATTGGGGATTCAAGGTACAGGGTGTCACTGGGACTTCCTGGGACTGAAGCTTCATGGGAGAGGGTGTCACTGTGACTTCTTAGGACTGAAGATTCACTGGACAGGTTGTCACTGGAGCTTCCTGGAATTGGGGATTCATGGGACAGGGTGTCACTTGGATTTATTGGGACTGAAGCTTCATAGGACAGGGTCTCACTGGGATTTATTGGGACTGAAGCTTCATAGGACAGGGTCTCACTGGGACATCCGGGGACTGAGGCTTCATGGGAGAGGGTGTCACTGGAGCTTTCTGGGACTGAAGCTTCACAGGACAGGGTGTCACTGTGACCTCTTAGGACTGAAGCTTCATAGGACAAGGTGTCTCTGGGACGTCATGGGACTCAGTTTTTCATGGGACAGTGGGTCACAGTGACTTCTTGGGACTGAAGCTTCATAGAACAGGGTGTCACTGGGACTTCTTGGGGCTGAGGCTTCATAGGACAGGGTGTCACTGGGACTTCCTGGAACAGGCTTCATGGGAGAGGGTGTCACTGGAGATTTCTGAGACTGAAGCTTCACAGAACAGGGTGTCATTGTGATTTCTTGGTACTGAAGCTTCATAGGACTGGGTGAAACCAGTAATTCCAGGGACTGAAGCTTCATAGAACAGGGTGTCACTGTGACTTCTTGGGGTTGAAGCTTCATAGGACATGGTGTCACTGGACCTTCCAGGGACTGGGGCTTCATGAGACAAAGTGTCATTGGTACTTCTTGGGAGTGAAGCTCCATAGGACAGGGTGTCACTGGAGCTTTCTGGGACTGGGGATTCATGAAAAGGAGTCACTGACTTCTTGGGGCTGAAGATTCATAGGACAGGGTGTCACTAGAACTTCCTGGGACTGAGGTTTCATGGGACAGGGTACCCACCTGGAGCTTCCAGGGACTGGGGCTTCAAGGGACTGGGTGTCACTGGGACTTCTTAGGACTGAAGCTTCATAGGGCAGGGTGTCACTGGAGGTTCCTAGGACTGGGGCTTACTAAGACAAGGCGAAACATAAGGTGTCACATTCAGCAAGGTTTTGTTAGGACAACCTGAGACTGGCGTTTGGGCTGTTTGGAAAATGGTGTCACTGGGACATCTTGGGACCTTCCTGGGACAAGGTGTCACGTAGAGCTCAGCCCGGGTCGGCTCCTCTATCCAGGAATGATGCTGAGAATACCATTTCGATGTCAATGAACGACTTCTTACCATTTTGTTCGTTTCATTCATTAAAGATGTCGATTTCCGGAAACTCTCGCGTCTGTTATTTTTTTATCTCTTGTGTTCCCCCCCCCAACCCCCCCGCAGTTCCGGCACCCCCCCCCCCCCCCCCGCAGTTCCGGCACCTCCAGCACTGAATGCATGTAATGGCAAGGGGTGCTGGAGGATTTATTGATGTTGACTACTTGGGGATCTATTGTTGCTGGAGGGGACCTATTTTTGCATGGTGGTCTATTGTTGCTGGGGAGTTCTATTGTTGCTTGGGGGTGTTATGTTGCTGGGGGTCTTGTGTTGCTGAATAGGATCTATTGTTCAGAGGGGCGTCTTTTGTTGCTGGCTGCTGTGGGATCTATTGTTGCTGGCGGGCATCTATTTTTGTGTGACAAATCTATTCTAGCTGGGGAGGTTTATTGTCGCTGGTGAGGGCACCTATTGTTGCTTGGGGGGCTTATTATTGGGGGGGTCAATTGTTGCTGAAAGGGATCGACTGTTGAGGGAGGGGGTCTATTGATGCTGGCTGCTGGGAATTCTGTTGTTGCTGCTGGGGGTCTATTGTTGCTGGGGGAAGATTTATTTTGCATGGTGGTCTACTGTTGCTGGGGAGGTCTATTGTTGTTTGGCAGGGGGGGGTGTTATGTTGCTGGGGGTCAAGTGTTGCTAAATGGGAAGGGTCTTTTGTCGCTGGCTTTTGTCGCTGGCTGCTGTGAGATCTATTATTGCTGGTTGCTGAAAGGGATTGACTGTTGAGGGAGGGATCTATTGTTGGGGGGGGGAATTTTTTTGCATAGTGGTCTACTATTGCTGGGGCGGCCTTTTGTTGCTTGGTGGGGGGGGTGTTATGTTGCTGGTGGTCAATTGTTGCTAAATGGGATCTACTGATGAGAGAGGGGTCTTTTGTCGCTGGCTGCTGAGGGCATCTATATTTTTGCGTGACAATCTATTGTTGCTGGGGGGGTCTAGGTTTATTGTTTCAATGGTGGGGGGGGAGGGGTCTATTGTTTCTGATTTATTGGGGGCTTATATCGTTGGGGGGGGGGGGGGGGTCAATTGTTGCTGAAAGGGATTGACTGTTGAGGGAGGGATCTATTGTTTCTGGCTGCTGGGGGGCTGGTAAATTTTTTTGCATGTGGTCTACTATTGCTGGGGCGGCCTTTTTTGCATGGTGGTTGTTGCTGGGGGGGGGGTGTTATGTTGCTGGTGGTCAATTGTTGCTAAATGGGATCTACTGTTGAGAGAGGGTGTCTGTTGAGAGAGGGGTCTTTTGTCGCTGGCTGCTGTGAGATCTATTGTTGCTGGAGGGCGTATATTTTTGCGTGACAATCTATTCTTGCTGGGGAGTTTATTGTTGCTGGAGAGGATGTTTGTTGTTGCTGGGGGGGGGGCTTATATTCTTGGGGGGGGGGTCAATTGTTTCTGAAAGGGATCTACTGTTGAGAGGGGGTCTATTGTTGCTGGGGGGGCTTATATTGTTGGGGGGGGGTCAATTGTTTCTGAGAGGGATCTACTGTTGAGAGAGGGGTCTGTTGTTCCTGGTGGGGGCTTATATTGTTGGGGGGGTCAATTGTTTCTGAAAGGGATCTACTGTTGAGAGAGGGGTCTATTGTTGCTTGGGGGCTCATATTGTTGGAGGGAGTCAATTGTTTCTGAAAGGGATCTATGGTTGAGAGAGGGGGTCTATTGTTGCTGGGGGGGGGGCTTATATTGTTGGGGGGTCAATTGTTTCTGAAAGGGATCTACTGTTGAGAGAGAGGGGTCTATTGTTGCTGGTTGCTGGAGAGTCTATTGTTGTTGCTGGCTGCTGGGAAATCTGTTGTTTCTGCTGGGGGTCTATTGTTGCTGGGGGGAGTTATTTTTGCATGGTGGTCTACTGTTGCTGGGGTTGTCTGTTGTTGCTTGGCAGGGGGGTT